CCCCTTCCTATAAAATATATATAATATACTTCTTCATTCCTTCCAGCGGATGGAAAAAGATTGCTGTTCGCCTGCTCGGTTCTTGTATTCGTTATCGGTTATTTAATATGATTTATTTGCGTGCGAATGTTGATTTATGTATTTCGTCTGAGGGCAGTAACAGCCAAAACTATAACAACAATATCAACTGCCATGGTTTATCACGCACATGGGCACTTAAGTGGGTCAAAAAATAATTGCCACGCCCCCTTTGGCACCCGCCTATCCACAAACACTTACACGTGCATAAAACCGTTTACGGTCTGTCCTTGTCCTCCCACATTGACCCACTTGGGTGGGCGTGGCTACAGTTCGAGTTTGGATTTGGGTTTGGGTTTTAGTTTTACATTTGTTTTTGTTTTGTTTTGGCCAAGGCCAAGCTTTTCACTTCCATTACCAATTCACAATTACCTCACAACGCCACTCACAATTGACTTCTGTTTGCAGACAATCCAATCAATTTCGAACAGTTGCTTGGGAACTAAGGATCTAGACACGCAAACCCTATATGTTAAGTTGTTCTCACTTTAAATTCGAATTAAGGGTTTTGACATAATGGATTGATAGATTATAGATAAAATCATTATATCTTGGTTTTTTCAGTATTATACATTTTTAAAGTAGTTTCGATTATTTTTTTCTAAATATTTAACGATTCTTTTTGTAAACTATTCAAAGTTGAACTTTAGCTTAACTAGCAACTTTGTACCCCTTACAAAGCTTATGGATTTTACAATATTCAAATCAAAAGTCAATCAAAAGTTGGCAAACTCCAGGGAAATCCCTCAACCTCTTTCATTAAACCCGCTTTGCATTTACTTTCACTCGAGTGCGAGGCTTATTATCCAACTTGTGCAAAACAGTTTTTGCACCCCCACTGTCTGTTGTTATGGTTATCAACCGCCACGCCTTTCGCACGAGCTTCAATTGATTGCCTGTGGGTGGTTGAAAGGGGGAGTGAGGTCGACTGATGAGTGATGAGGGGGCGTTTCAAAAGCCCCGGTACTCGTATTCACGCGATTTCATTCTCATCGTGTGGAGCATTTGTGGCTTGTGCCCGGTACTCAGTTGCATTTGGGAAAAGCAACAGGTTAGGCCTGCTTATGTTATACCTATAGTATAAGAAATTATGTTTTTTACTAAAGATATTATAATAGCAGTAGGTGTTATATATAGTTGATCATAAACCCAGACCCGTAGAGAAAAAGTAGGTGTTTTGAAAATAATTTCAAAAAACGTTGTACCAGATAAACGAATATAATAATAATAAAATATAGATATATTAAATATAGATTACCAAAGATCTTATCATAACAAAAGGTGTTATATACAGTTGATCATAGGTCCCAAACCGTGCTGAAAAAAATATAAGTTTTAAAAATACCTTAAAGAAATGTTGTACCAGATAAACGAATATAATAAAATTGTAATATAGATTTATTATATATAGATTACTAAAGATCTTATAATAGTAGTGGGTGTTATATACAGTTGATCATAAGTCCAGACCTGTGTGAAAAAGAGTAGTTTTGAATATAACTTCACGAAATGTTGTTCCAGATAGCCGAAAATAATAATAATATAATATAGATATATTATATATTGATTACTAAAGATCTTATAATAGCAGTAGGTGTTATATACAGTTGACCATAAGTTCTAATCCGTGCAAAAAATAGGAGTTTTGAAAATAACGTTGTACCAGATAAACGAATATAAATATAATACAATATAGATATATAAAATATAGTCTTTCTAAAGAAAACTTAAAAAACTATATTTATAACACCAACCCAAAAAACAAAAGATCATCTCCTGTGCGGTTTAATGAATGCCAAATGCTGCACCTCCATTAGGCCCGGCATGTTGCATGTAATGCATAATTAGTTACCTCTTAATCGGCGGCGTCCCCTCGGCGGGCGATCGCGTGTGCTAGCGGAATTTCGCAGCACCCCGGCAACGGATACGGATGCATTATTATCATTATCATCCTCATCATCGTGATCATTACCATGATCATTATCATTGGGAGCGTCATCCGTCGCCGCGTTCGCGATCGCGTTTTATCCACGCCCAACTGCACACAGCAAACATAAACAGAAGGAGAGCAAGAACGTTTATATCGGTTTCAATTAAATTTCATTTGTATCGTGTTGTAATTAAGGTGCCGCACACACACTTAGATGCCGAGAAATCTCTAATTAATCTGCCAGACCAAACACAACAAAAAAAAAACAAAACAACAACTGCCGACGGGCTAATAAGAAGTGATTCATTCAATCTCAATTGAAAACAATTGAGCAATTGAAATGCTGTGAAAAAATGATCTACATTTATGCAATAAAAAAATACAAAGTATTTGAGTGCTCAGTGAACAAGTGATTTCCCCTCCGCTCGAAATGGCTCAAAACCTGACCATGTTGGTGGGTGAAAACAGTACCGGTAACAATAGTACAACTAACAGCAATGAAAACAACAATAGTAGTAATACTTCAGTTAATTTCAAGCCAAAGGATACGAATGGCTGGCGGGATTACAAGAAACTAAAGACATATCTCATACTAAAGGATCAGCAAAGTGAAAAGGTAACTGCGCTGAAGTTGTCAAACAATTCTATCGATATTACCTGGTATTAATATACCTCGATTAGCAATGTGTTGTTATTAAGATAAATGTAAGCCTTCCAACAGGTAGTTTCTAAAAAAATAACGATTATGACCTAAAAACAACGATATCAGCCAACTCAAACCAAACACAATCGATTATTTTTACTAATATTTCCGATTCTAGCCATATAGATAACACTGCCAATCGCACGTCATAGAAAGCGTTCTGCGAGGCATTAAATATCACCATGCAATCAATCAATATTGACCCAAATTATAGACCAAACAAACAATTAATAATAAAACTTGTAGATAAAAAACGTAAGCTGACACCATTTGGAGTATATTATAATCCCTAGCGAGAAAAAAAGTACATTAATTAGTAAAAGTTACAAACTACTTATTTATATATACTTTTAAAACTGGCTAAAAAAGTTGTGAGCAACTTTTCAACATCAAACAAAAAATTGTTGCCACCGCAATTCCAGATTTCCTCCCACTTTGTTTTATAATTAACAGAACAAACGCCACAAAAGTTATGAATGAACGGAAAAAAGTTGCTCATAAAAAGTTATTAAACGGTCATGACCCCCATTTTCGAAATGCTTATCAGCGGCATGAAATGCACAAACAAACAAACAAACAAGAATGGGGTCTAAAAGAGTTTTTTTTTTCTTTTTTTTGGGGAGGGGGGAAATAAAGTCCAACGAGCGAGCATGGAAAGCGAACATAAAAAGTGAGCAACAGAAAGAACATCTATAAAAAAATATGACGAACTTGTTCTTCCATAAAGCCAACTGTCAGACGTCGGCTTGTAAGTGGGCGCAAAAAGGGGGCGGGATGGGGTCCGGAACAGAAGGCGGAGACGCCACCAAGCCATTGGATCAATAAATATAGATGACATGGCACTGTCCAGATTGATTTGATATGTGTGCGCGAGCCGCATGACAAGGCGAACAAACAAAATGGAAGCAGCCACAAATACCGAAAACACTCGCCCATAAATACTCCCCGTAGGCATGGATACTTTTGTATCTGAAAGTTACCCATGCTGCCTCGGCCCGTTGTGCAATCAAAATGCGCGCCTATCAATGTCAGAAAATCTGACACAATGAAATACGGAAAGTAAACAAACAATTAAATTTACTTAGTGCCTAATAAAATAAATGAATGCTCTGGCCGCCGTGTCCCATGTTCTCTAATCTGAGTGGACAGCTGCCCAGATACAAAAGGCGATGAAGATTCATAGATACAGAAATTCTGTCGGTCGGTACAAAAAGATTAGCAAGCATCATCAACCAAAAAAAATGCATGAAAATATTCAAATGACATAAAGAATCCACTCTGTCGTATACGTAATATGTTGCCTTTCATTCTTGTTGACAAGTTGTTATGGTTTTTTTTTCATTTCGGGGGCGGGTTCACATTTGCGTGAGGGTGTTTCCACGTGCGTATATTAATTTGTATAAACACAGATGACGTCTGGTTACGGGTTCCCGTGGGTGTGGGTGCTAGACGGGTCGTATACGTAACGCACGTTTTCTATAAAAGCTGAATGGGGGAAAATTTATGTTTTCAGGTGCGACACACCACTTAAAACGAGCTAGTATGAGTAAAGAACTTAAAATACATTTATTCCTTTAAATTTAATTAGGAATTTTAGGTTTTAATGTCTTTTATGTATAATCTTTTAGTAGAAAATACTATTTTGGGTCAGGGATATTTTGGTATTTATTCCTTTTCAGTATTTATTTTTTTTTAGTATTTATTAGAATTCATTACTAACACGATTTTTCTCAATTCGATTGCTAATCCCAAAGATCTAACAAAAAGTCACAATCTTTCAAAGATATTAATCTTTTTTCCTTTAATGCCTAATGCGGATTGCATCATGAAATGTTTTATTCATGCGTGTCAATCCATCAGTCAACATAAATGTAATTTATCAATTTCGTTTCTATGTCAGCATCTTCAACAATTTACAAACATCAAAGCCGACTTGCGATCTTTAAGTGTAAAGAAGCTAAAAAGTAAATAATAAGCTTGGCCAATTATTACTTCGCGCTAAATGAAAGATTTCTATTTTGGGCATTTACACCTTTAGTGGCATTATTGATCTTTGTTTCATTGCATTTATTCAGATGGCGTAAAGGTCGTTACGGTGATTTCGACTTAACAGTTGTTTGCTAAAAAATCTCAGCTGTGTTAATCGATTTTAAATAGAACCATATTTGTATATTTCACACCTTTGTTGCGGTTTCTTGCATAATTCAGCTAAATGAATCTGCAAATTTCCGGATTTGGCATCAGCTCATGACTAACATAGATTTTTTTTATAACTTTCTATTTGTTTAGGCATCTCATAAACCGGAATCGGAGCGATCTTATCAGCTGCGAAAACGCTCGACGCCCGTGGCGGAAAGAACCACTTTCGTTTGCTACACCTGTGGCACGGACACGCCCTCCTCGCAACTTCGCCTTGTCTACTGCTGCCCAAATGCCGAAAGGGAACCCTACTATCCGTTCATCAAGACCATGAAGGTCTACAAAAACGCCAGTCCAATAAGTCCTCAAGGTGAGTGCGTTAAGTACAAGTTGTGTGTTCTCAGCTAACGCAATTATCTCTTGGCTTTCAGGCATGGTTCAGGTGTGTTCCACCTGCAATGAGAAGCACACCGGCCTGGCGGAGGGTGGTCCACCACCAGCTTCGTCCAGCAACCACTCGGCAGTGGGTGGGGGTTCACCAAGTGCTGGTCACTCGCTGGAATCGAACTCGGCCATGTACAGTGCCAGTGGAGCGATAGCCGGAAATAGTGGGGCTCAATTCGGGGGTCGTAACTCACCGTCCGAGAAATCCCTGGCCAATTCGGACTCCACAAGCAATGTGCGGTTTAGGGTAAGGAATTCTCCGATTCTTGGAAGAACGAAAAGGTCCCTTGGGAACCAATATTTAGGTCGTTGAATCAGATATTCCCACAAACAGGAAATAGTTCTAGAAATCCTTTGGGTATATGAATTGTCTTAGAAACCAATATTAACGTCGTTGAATCAGATATTCCAATAAAAACAGGAAATATTTCTAGAAACCCCTGTGGTGTATAGATTGTATTTTAGAGAATTATTTTACCATTGATAAATGGGTCCAATGTAGCATTTTGAAAAATTCTAGATAAGATTGGAAAGATGTATTTGTAAACTACATCTGCCTTAAACGTGTTCATATCAGTTGTAGTCTGAAAGTAATTGCTGATTTTTCTTAAGAAAACTGGCTCTAGCCGGTGACCATGGCCATTTTTTGGCGGAATGACAATTAACGAAAACCTATACAAAAAAGTACTATGCTTTTAAGCAGGGTACTGACACAAACCCGTTTGTTTTGGTTATGATGGGAAATACTTTTTCATAAACCAAATCTGGCCAGTTCGTGCAGAAGGAATCGGTTAGTTCATAGATGACGCAGTTGATTGAATCGATTGTCAATAACAATTTGTGAGGTGTACTCGAATGAGACTCTCATTTGCCTGCATCATAAATAATCCGTAATACATATATATTATATGTAAGTGTTTTCACAGAGTATCTGTTAAGTGCGCAAACATGGAAATTTACTAGAGAGTGCGCGGGAGATAATAGTTATGGAGTGTACAAATATAGGAAAAACAATGATTGCACTTATTACAGCAACTGGTGGGAGACCGAGAGGATCGGATCGGATGGGATCGCCTGGGTCAGTAGCAGTGGCACTCGAGGCAGCGATAACATTGCTCACATTTCCAGCGATTAGCGGCACCCACTTGCCCCCGTCCGCGGAAAAGCGATAACCCAACTGAACCGGGCCCCATTAAAGTGCCAGGCGTCTGGGAGTGGGCATATAGTCGGCAGATAGATGGCAGAGGATGGTTCACGACCTGAAATTGTTGAGTAATTCATTTGTAGCCAGAAGGCCGTTGAGGAAACAGACGATGGGATAGGGTGCACTTATCAGCCAGGGAAGCGAGAGAGTTTCCATTTATATGGTGTATAGCTAAGTCTAAAATGAATTCGATCGTCAGCATGTTGGCCAATTTGAGTCAACAAACGGCGAGATTAGATAGCCGGAACCTCTGTTCGTTGCCCACGGCAACTCTGCATGTTCCTCCATCCTCCCGGAGGAGAAGAGCAAATAAATATAGAGCAAGTGCGAGTTATAAATGGAGTGAGGGACCGAAATGAAATTATCGTATAAACAAGACAGCACATATGCGGGGGCAATAAAAAACTGGGTAAACATGGTCGAGTCAGAGTCGGTTTTTTTTTTGTCTTTCTGTCAGTTTAAGGCATCTGCTTGGAACCGGTTTACTTGTCTGCTTTTTTTGCTTAATTCTACTTAAACGCTTTTTATTTATAGCCGGCTGTTGTTGTTCTTCTTGTTGTTGCTGCCGCAGCGCCTTAGTTTTGTTTATTTTGTTTTTAGTTTTGTTTTGGCATGAGTTTTATTTTCTAATTTGAAATCTTTGAGCGTTTCGCCCGAGACAATTGAAAGACTTGTCGTCGCCTTGCTCATAAATTATTGCCATCCTCTTCAGTTTACTCTTCAAATTCGCATACTTTTATTCTTAAATTTATGTTTATTTTATACATTCTTGTATGGCGAATACTTTTGTTTAATCTGCCAATGTTTGTTGACTATTTGTATAGCTTAATTTGTCCTAAAGTGATTTCTCTTGATGTTTCTAGTTGATTTACTGTTTCGTTTTGCTGTTTTTAGTTTTGCGAGATGGTTTCCTGTGTGGCCTTTAGTCTTTATTTATATTGGCCAAACAGTATGCGATACAAGTAATAGCAACTTTTTTGGGGGAATTCAAGCATGTCTGCAGCCTTGACAGAGTTGATTGAGTTGAATACAATTATACTGCACGAATTGTTCTCATTGCCTCTAAGCAGTTGTTAAATGATTCTTTTTTAGTGGCTCATGCTGTTTGACATTTGTGTTGGCTTTGATGAAACAGAAGTCATCTGTTTGCTAAGCGTGTGGGTCGAAAAGTGGCGAAATTTCAACAATAATTTATCTTTAAACAGGTGTCTACCACTTGCTCTATTTTCTATATCTGCGGATATGAATACAACGTGCGTCTATATCGTACGTATGCGTTTATTCTGGGTTTATTCAGGTCATTGCACAATCGAGCAACGTTTTCGAAACTCGTTTTCTTGCATAAAGAAACAGTAAACTGAAGCACAAAATGCGAAATTAAATATAGATAAATGCAAATATTTATCAATACGCCAGCGTCAATAACAACAACAACAACAGTAACTCAATATTTAAACAATTCTTTCCGAATTGTTTACATTTGCATTGTCTTATTTGTGGATTTCTGTTTTCATTTTCATGCCACTCCGCAGTATTTGCATTACTGTCTCAGGGCTTTGAATTGCAAATGTTTTGCCTGGCAACACTCGATAGAAGTAGGTTTCATATCTGACGACCATCATTTTCCCGCCCTTTCCCCAGATAACACATTTTTAAAGGTTGTAAACGTATTAGGCAAACACCTGCAGTCACACTGAGCCCAGTCATTCAACTTTCTGGTGTGGTAAATAATAATAAAAGCTGATAAATACTGAAAGTGCTAAAACGGGCTTTCATAATTTGGTAATAATTTTAATCAATTTCTTGGTAGTAATAATTCAAAATCTGGAATGGGTTTTTTTTCATTGTTTGCAAACCTACCCACAATTGATTCAAGTGACCACAATGAGTTCATAATTTTCGAACAGAAGAGAATTCCTTGTACGACTTTAATGGCACTTGAAAATCAAATTATATTCAAGTAGGAACAGTATTGACATACATCATCCAAATGATGTCAAGTCATGATGGGAATGAGTGATCAAATAAAACAAATGCTATAGCTAACATTCAACTTTGAACTCCAGCTATGATTGATATCAGCTGTCGTAACCCGAAACCATCTAATTAGTCCTAAACGAACCGCGATAAGAGGCTTATGGTTTTGGAGAGGTATTCGCTCTCGCCCTCGAAATATAAGTCGCAAAACGTAGGGAGATAAGTGAACCGCACATGGTTCGAGCCGGATCGAATCGGTTTTACGGCAAATGCCGAAAGCAAACCCAGTCGAACGCCAGTCATAGTCGAGTGGCTACTCCTTGAATAGCAAATCAATTGTATAAAATATTTAATAAAATTTGGTAAGCTTTTTTTTCACCCCTATTTGCTCGCTGATTAGATAGAGTCGAAGTTAGTCTTTGGGGATCGTCATAACAGTTGGCATTCGCCAGAGACGGCGTGTGCGTGATATTGCTAGAACAACTACACGAATAGCTAATACAATCTGTATGTTTTCATTTTCATTCCAATTTTGATAGCCCTACGAGACGAACTCGAACAATTCCAACTCAAACACGGCACGCGACCTGAAGCAAATTCGTCGCAGCGATTCGCGCCCCAATTCGCCAAGTTCCAGTCAAGGAGCCATCGAAAATGGTCATGGGCAGTATCCGTAAGTGAAATATCCCATCCGACTCACATTCTTTTTAGCACATTTGTCTAATGTTTCAATTTCTATCTTGTAGATGCTCCATTTGCAAAGTGCTGTGCCCGTCAAACAAAATGGATTGGCTGTCCACCAGTGCCGAGCACATGAACTCCCATGCCATGCACTTTCCCTGTCTCAAGGCCAATGTCGTAACCAGCAATAATAACAATAATAACAATACCAACAATAACAACAACAATATCAACAACAACAACGAACTAAACAGCAATCGCGTGTTGGCCTGCAAGGACTGCAAGGATTACTTGGCCAGCCAGTGGGAGACGATGGATGCGGATCGGGTTCCCCTCGAGCACAGAAGGTTCTCCTTTTGAATTCCCTAAATACATGTGAATGTGTCCCACTAACTATATGCATTTCAATTTGCAGATACAACATTCCCTCGCCCATGCTGACCTCCAGCTCACCCAACGGATCTCGGCACGGCGCCATGAGCATCAACACTCCGCCCTCCACGCCATCCATTTCATCCTCGACGCCTGCCAGCACATCAATCTACTGCTATCTCTGCGGCCTCCACTCGGACCTGACGTTAGCCAGGGTTCTCTATGCCAGTAAAGAGGTAGAGTCATCAAAGAGGCAAATTGAGATAGTAATTAGTTAAGGAGGTTGTTTGAGGAGTAATGCACTCAACGTTGGCTATCAGGATTACTTACTAGCGGAAACAGCAAATAGAACACTCTTGTGGGCGCCGTATGTAGTTTTATAGAGTAGTGTATAGTATAGCTCAATATTAGAAAGTTTCAATGACAAGTTCAACCGCAGATTTTCAGTATTACATGATTAGTTACAAATTTGTTCAAAGAACCACAAAAATTTTAACGTTAATCAAATTATGGATCTAACAAATAACCCGACACGTAGTACAAATATATTATAATGTTTAGGAGCTGTATACGCTAAATGTTACAGGAATGTGTAGAACTAATGAACCATAGCCTAACGATTATAACAAAATGTAAAATTTATTAAAGTAAACCTTTTTTGCCCAGGCCTAATAGTAATAGAAAAAAGTGCAACTATTGAAAAGAATTATGTTTTCACTTAAGCTCACAGCTAAGACTATATTATCCATAATTAGAATTGCAAGGCTGTAAATTTTTGTTTAACATAATGCTCGTTTTACAACTATGAAATGACTTAAAATCACTCAGGCAAAAGTAATAACATCTATTGTAAAAGCAGAACCCTTAAATTATTCAAGAAATACCTCAAATATTAAAGCGTTAATTAGTTTGCTATAATTTGCAAGCTCCAATCAGTCACGGATAGGGTTTTGTAAGACACCGACCTGGGTAATAAGAGTTTAATTTGCGTTTCGGGTCAACTCGTAAGACCTTCACTCAATTTTTGCCACATTGTATAAGTGAATTTGTGTGTGCATACTATTTGTGTATCGCTTACCAAACATGTAATTTGCTGATAAATCAAGCTATTTCCCCTTTTCCCAATAAAGCCACAAGCCCAGTCAATCAATATAGATATCCAGGACTGAGTAAATACAAATGTTACACGATGTGTGTGCAGATTGTTTTAGATAGCGCTTGCACTGGATTATATTTGGTGTAGATATCAAGTAATATTATCTTTGTCCTGTTCAGCAATGATTAACAAATGAACCTATTTGATTAAGTAATGAGATATGTTCGGGTTTATTTAGATATCAATCAGAAATATAATGATTAGGGCAGGAAATTAACCCTAAGGTTCTTTCTTTATATTTTCAAAAATACGCTTAGGCTACTGAATAATACAAGATGAAAGATAAGTTAAATTTGTAAATATGTCAGAAATTCATATATTTAATTATTTATAGGATAGTAAAGACTTTTTTAACAATTATATTATAAATTACCTGTATTACAAATTTAACAATTTATTAATCTCTGTTAATTTTGTGTATTCGTTCAGGGCTCGCGACCTTATTTTCCACTGTTGCTCAAACACAACTCGCTACCTAATGCGGAACAGCTAAGAAACAACTCGGCCTTGGTTTGCACATTTTGTTACCATTCCATGTTGAATCAGTGGCGCAAGTAAGTCAATTGTCTTTTATATCAGATGTACAAATAGTCATTAATGTGTTTTCCTGACCTACAGGTATGAGGCGCAAAGTCCCAGCGTGAATCCAGCGGATCGTAAATACAACTGGCACGATTACAACTGTCACCTGTGCGGCATTACGACTTACCGGAAGAGAGTTCGGGCCCTACCTGTCAATGAGTTTCCCTTTGTTAAGCACCAAAAGAGCGATGATGGCCTGCTGCTGGAGAACGGAGAATACGCGGTCGTCTGTCTGGACTGCTACGAGAGCTTAAGGTGGGAAGAGGAATGCTCCCTGTCCAAAATTATCGCGATTTTTCATGACTTTTTATGGTATATAAAGATCAGCGGTGCAAAGACAGCAAATAACTTAACTTCTTACTGAGGAAAAGATGAGATGTATTTAGAAAATGTGTAAATTTGTAAACTGTAGAATATTGATAGAATTTATTCGTTGATTTATAATTTTCCAGTCCTCCACCCTCCGAGTACAGAATAATAGTTGTATGTAAAAAAAGATTGAAATCTTTTTATAAAATTGTCTTGCTACTCTTAAATTTAAATCTAAAACGTTTACGTCTATAGTGTTTAGATGTTTAATAATTGTTAGCTAATTTTCAAGTCTTCTATCCCAGCCTCTGAGTGCAAAATAATACTGTATGTAAAATAAGATTGTAATCTTTATATGAAACTATTCTAAGATAATCTTGCTAGTTACATTTCAAATGAAATCCAAAACGATTACGTTTATGTTGTATAGAAAAATGAATAGTATATTTTGCTAAGCTATAATTTCGTACTCTGGAAACGAAAACATTTGTACAACTTTTCTAAGAAGTTAAGTGTTTTTGATATGAATTGACAATGATGTCTAATGTCTAATACAATCTAATTTTGTTTGCTCTGGTTAGTGTGATTACAATATGATTGCTATTCATTCATGCCGTTTATGATTCATGTTAAAAACAGGTATAATCAGATCTGTTCCGATGAGTACTGGTTTGCATCACTGATAATAAGTTCAATGCTATTTAATGATTAGCACCATAAAAAAGTCGTGAAAAACGTCACATGTGTGCGCATGAAAGTGAAAACCATCACCTGCTTTTTTGTGGTTTATCTTACTAATTGATAATTTCTTTTTATTTATTTTTTAGACAACAAGCCTCGCAGCACGATCGCTTTGGGGTGCCCATTTCCAGGCGGGCCTACAACTGGGTGCCCCAACCGCCTCCGCCGGAGGACAGTCCCGAATCCGCAGTGGCCCGTTTGCCCTGCGGCGAACGCTCCGATCGTATTGTGAGTATTATTTATTGTATTTTTAGTACCTTGGCAATGAAATCTGACCCGTGTCCATGTGCCAATTTTCGTCCCCAGCACATCAACAATGCCATGAGGCCCGTGCCAGGAAAGAAGACCACATCGCCCAAGCAGTACGACAAGTCGAAAGAAGGTAAGTGACTCCTCTGGCGTCGGGGGAAGCCGATCTGATTTCTACCCGACTTCTGGTAACGCGAAACGCCAAGCCCGAGGTCCGGGGTTAGCGGGTTCAAGTGAAACCCAATTCGCGTCAATAAATTTCAATTGGTTTCACTTAACTTTGAGTGTTCGGCGTTGGCCGCTTGGCTCGGACAGTTCAATAATAGCCTTAGCTCGGCTCGTTTAGCCCCCCAAAGAGGAACATTGGTCACTGGCTTGGGGGCAGAGAACCATTTGGAGATTATTTTGCATTTTTACTCGACAAAAGTTAAGCATTTGTGGGGAATCTGTGTATTTGATTTTTAAACGGATTTCACAGGGCTCTTCATATGCAAACTGGGGTTAATGCGGTGTAGTGACTATATTTTAAAATCCTTCTTCTATATGAACTTGGTGAAACTATTTGTAGGTGCATAAAAGACCAGAATAAGTGCAATTCGATTTCATTTTAATTGGAATTTTTGTAAAAGATTCACTGTTAGGGCTAACAATATAAAAATATCAAGGTATTTAGTTAATACATATATGCACGTGATATAAACTTTTAATTGTTTTAAAGTCTGTAGTCTTGATTACTTTTTTAAGAGAGCGAAGGAGAATCATGTTCTATATCAGTTCACTTCTAGAAACCAAATTGTTGATATAATTTAATGACATTTCATGATCAATTAAAGCTCTAACATTCAAAAGAAAACAAATATGTCGAGTACATATGCCACGTACATATTTGTTTTTCCCCAAATTCAATTTTTTTTCCTGTATATATCATGCTTTGCCCCTGGCACTCAAGTGTCCTTAATCCCAGATGAATTCCCAGTACATACTCGGAAAAATCTCGGCAAAAGCTTCTCTAATTGCATTTCCCCCAATACGAATGGAGAGCAAAAACTTCAACCTGAATAAGAAATCAACTGATTAAATGCCGAATAACAAGCTGAGACCACAAGGAGGTTTCCCATGTATACTAGCTGTTGTAATAAATATTGATTTTTTATGAATTGCATTGGGCTGGGGGGGTGTGGCAGTGAGTGCTTTCGCCCTCTTTTCTCGTTTATTTATGCAGCAGCAATGGCGTCGGTAAACTTCTTCAATAAAATGCCAAAAAGGAAACATCATAAAAATAAATAAACAGAGAAACCACAAGCACACAGACTGAAGCCTTGTACATATTTGTGTGTGTGTGTGGTAGTGGGTATAACTTGGCACACGAATTTTTATGCAGCCCACCCACCCAAAGCAACCCATCGAACGAACCACCACCCACAAAAAACCACCTACAAATGCCACTTCCGACAACAGCAATCCCCAAACGAAAAAGAAGAACGAGGACGAACGACCGACCGAGCAAGCACAAATAATAAAAGCAACAGCATAAAGTATTTCGAATTGAATTACTCCGTGTTATCCTGTCAACCATACGAAAACACTCAAGACCATTCAACATGCCACACGCTTCCTGTCCCATGTACACCCACTGTAGCCAGTTTCCCTGGGGATCCTGGGGTATCCAACATTCTGCCATTCTACCATCCACTACCACCCACCGTTTAAGGAGTTGGCATCGATTTGCAAAAAGTATATTACCACCCGGAAAAGAGGGTGGGGGAACTTAACCCCCTCCAACCCACAGCCACCCCCTGCCAATAAAATGAAGTTATGCTCTCTGTGGGGGGGTGAGTATGGGTGGTCGAGGAGTTGAATAAGTAAACATAAAACCACTGAATTTACGCTTATTGCACCCGCAAACATTTTGTTTAACACAACAACAGGCGGCGTCGTCATTGTGACTCTCCCTATCTCTCTCTCTCTCCCCTATTGCTGTCTCTCTCTCTGCGCAGTGGGGTTGTGTGTGTGTGTGTGGGTGTCATTTCCGGCCTCAATTTCAAAAGAAGCTCAAATTTCCACACAATTTTCCGGCTTCGCTCTTTGGCACTTTGGCTCGTCTCGTTTCGTTTCGTTTCGTTTGCTCTCGGAATGGTTTTTTGCACCACCAAGTTGGGTTTTCCACCCAACCAGCCCCCCACTCTCCGACTCCCATGCTTTTCCCCCTTTTTGACTGACAGCCGTTTCCTCGTTGCCACTTGTTCAGTCAGTCACTCAGCAAGGACCCAACCTCCAACCTCCCCACACCATCCCCATCCCCATCCCCTTTTTAACCACAATTCTGTTTTTGCCGCCTTTGGTTGTGCTTTTTACTTTGGCCACATCTTGTTGTGGCCCAAGTTGCCACCTTTGCCACAGAAATATTTCAAGCACTCGCCACCCCTGCTGCCACAACCACCCCCTACCACCTCCAGCCCCCCACGCCCCTGCTTCGTTTCCGTTTTGCGTAGAATAACAGTTACATTATCCTTTTTATTGCCACACTTTCCAGACACGAATGGCAGGACGAGACTGAAAGAAAAGTGTGAACGAGACGGCGAGCATGGGCAGGGGTGTAGATTGTGAGAGGGGGTTTGGGTGCTGGGGGTTGGGGGTTGAAAACCAGGCCCAGACACAGACATATTTGGCTTGTGGCAAGCTACGACCTAACCCCCGACCCCTTCGTCTTCGCCTTTTCAGTTTATTGTGCTCCAAGCCCCCTTTCACAAATCCCCCCACCCCCCTCCAGAAAACTTTCAGGAAATTGTGGGCAAAAAAATGTGCACTGCATTTATTTTTGCTAGAGCTCGACTGACTCGACTCGAGTCGCAGTAAATTGTGGTAAACACGAAGCCAAGTGTTTGGATAGTGTTTACTCGGTTGTGGCCCACCGTGGTTGCACAGTGGGTCGCATCGTCATTTGCATAATTGGCAAACATGATTGCAGACACAGAGGACTTTCGTCCTAGAGGATGGGTAGTGTCGTGTGTATGATGTATATTCAAGGGGAATTATGCAAAGTAAAATTGACTTCTAGCTGGAGATTATGGTGATTTTCTTAACCCGTGAATATTCAATAAACGGTGGGTGTATTTCCTTTCAAGATTGCTGGTTAATTTGGCCAAGCTTTGAGTTGAAAAATGTAATATTCCTAGTATCATATCATATGAATAAGTTTTGAAACGTTTCTTATTCAAAAACTTTACATTGTTGAAGAAGAAAATTGTCTTAAAAAATCTTTACTTTAAAAACTTTAACATCTCCTGAAAATTTTAAAAATGTACCAAGACTGCCATAAACTTTTGAGTGCCATTTAAGACAACCTCTACCTTAAATGTAACAAATTCCTCCAATTGCTGTGCATGTTAAAACAGTTTATTGCGTTGCCCATTTCGTCAGGACATTTTCCATTCCGAGCAACACGCTTTACATCTTAGTTGGTATCGCAGTCTTACAACTTCATCCCTTTGTAATCATCATCATCTGTTAGCAGCAGCTGATTTATCCCACACTACCCCGGCCGTAAGATATGCATATGGTGGTGCTCGTGGCTGTCAGCACATAACCTCAACTCACTTAAAGGGGGATTCCCCCATGCCCATGCCCAACGCCTTCGCCCTTTTGGCCATTCCTTCCCCATTTATGTGCACACATAAAGCGCTGATGTGGCATGAAAAAACATATAAATTCTGCCAATCGATGAAGATAAAATACATTTTGTAATACGTTAGCCCGCCAACACCCCCGATCGCCCCCTTTCTATCAGGGGGTTGGGCGGACGTCTGAGGTCAACCGTTTGAGTGTGGGCGCCTTTTGGGAGTCAACGAAGTGTGCAACGTCAACTTGCGCACACACACAGGCGCACAAAAAGGCATTCCATGTGGGTGTAAGTGAAATTTCAAGTGGCGCTACCAAGGCAAACTTCAGCATTGACTCTTAGTGCGCCACCCTCCACATATGCTTCGGTACAGTGGAGCTTCCAAAAGTGCAACTATCCTGAAAACGTATCTATTAGGGTTATTAATTAGGGCTATAAATTCAAACAAGCCTAAAATGTTGTGCGAAAACGACAAGAAAAGTTTCTTTTGGCTTGATTAACATTTCTGTATAATATTATATAGTGTTATTGATTATTTATATATTATTGATATTGATTAACCAAATCATTCATACGTCAGGTATATGTGATAAGGGGTTTTCCATATATTACGTTATCACATTGGGAGTGGGGGTTGTCAGCCAAATGATTACGCCTGTGAATCAAATCAATTTGTTTACTTAATAAAATTATTACATGTGGGGAAAGGGATCAAAAACTATGATATGATATATATATAAATATATGGACAGACTTTAAGTGAACTTTACCAAGGAACATATTGAAATTTTTTTAGCAATCTATTTTGAACTTTTGAATATACTTCAATTCAAATTTGGGTTTTGTAATAAAGTATTAAGATTATTTAATAAAAGTTCAGGTAAAAGAGTCTTATCTTGCTTGAATAAGGAAAATTATATTTTCAGGGGATCTTAATACAGAATAAATATATGTATGCATGGTAATGGAAGTTCCAATTGTAGAGTTTGAGTCCGAGTTCGGGTTAGAGAAGTTATCCTGTACTTATATGTGCGGCCGAGAGCATGGAAACCCTTTAAAAGCTTGTTGTTGCCAGACACATAAACGTTTAGCCCATAAACCCTTGATGTATGGAACATAAACACCACACTTGCAAGTGCCACTCATTCGGAGGTTTCTGGGGATCGGAGTACCAGGGCCTGGGGGGTACGAGGTATCGTGGGGCTTGCGGCCCTGGTGTCAGTGGTTAGTGGCGGTGGTTGCTTGCCAGCTAACTGCTAACTGAAATCCAATGTGTGTCCGGATACGAGGGTTTGGTTTGGGTTTGGGTTTCGGGTTCTCGGTCCTGAATTCTGGGTCCGGCAACCGCAATGTCAATAAATATGTTACGCCTGACTCGTCCTTTTTTCCTTTCCGTGCCATTCCTTTCCAAGGGGGCTGTTGTTGGTTAGCAATTTGGTTAAACATATTTATTTGAGGGTAGTGGCCGGTACTTCATTTCGTTCGGCACTCAACGTGTTTTGCTTTTGTTCGAT